GGTGGTGTGGCAATGAAAAAAGATTTTCAATACTTTTTCAGTCGAAAAATATTTCTTCGTCTGTTGCTTCTGAAAGACTGTTTTCTGATACAGGACTTGTTACGAAACAAACTTAGTATATAGTTTATTACTTCTTTTAATAACTGTATTTTGCAAACTATGATAAATAAATAAATATTTTATTAATATATATAGGACTACGAATGCGTATGAACATAAAATTAGTCCTTCAATTGTTAGCAAACTTAGCATCAGTAAGCTAATTAATAAACTAATTGAAATTGCTCTTTCTTTTTTGTGTTAATAATTAAACGTTCTTTCGGTTTAATGAGCTCAGAGAATATTTTGCTGGATTCAACTTCTGATGAACATTGACAATTTACACAATAGTGGATGATGCTTGAGTAACTTTTTTTTTTAGATCAGGAGAATATATCTCATTTCTTGGAGAATTTTCTGCTTGATCGCTTCTAATAAATATTCCTTTTCTTGTGAATGTTTTCTTGAATTTGGGTCAAATCAGGTCTTGTCTCTTTTGTTTGATTTGGTAACGGAAGAATTGTTGTTGAAAAGCATTTTGTAAATTATTTATCCTCGTAGGTTACTGAATTGTTTCAATTACTTTCTCTATAGTGACACCTTTTGTATCTAAATTATCTCTTTCTTGCCCAGCCTTTTTTTATGAATATCAGTATTCGTAAATTGTTCTTTTTATAGCACTAAATTCGTTGGTGAACTTGTTGTTTGGTTTTGTTGGACTTGGTGGGATGGAGACTTTGATCGGTGGTTTGGAGGCCATTTGTTTCATTTGGCAGATTATTAATATTCTGGTGAGCAGAGTTAAAGTATCTTTGCTAATCCTATTTACTAGTTTTGCTTTTAAAGAATTGATATTATAATTTTTTTCTCGTTTAATTCTTTATCAAAACTTTTGCACTAATTTTTTATTTTGGCTTTTGTGGATTATGAACAGTTTCTGAAAGAGTTCAATTGCTTCTTTAAAGACTGATGAAAAAATTGAGTTTGCTAATTCGTTATCTTGGTTGGTCTTTCTAGGTGGTTAATTCTTGTAATTGATTATCATTCATTGATTGACTTCTTTCTCATATATTTGTTCTCCTATTTCAATAACTCATTCCATTGATTAACCTCTCATTTTAATGCTAGAATTTCGTTAAATAATCCATAGAGTCTCCTACTTCCTTCCTCATTTGATGAATGAGCAGAGCAATATTAATTGCCAATAATATCTATTGTCTCTTCATTGATTAATCTTCCAATTTTATTTCTGAGATTTTAATATGTTCATCTGCTTCATTCAATTCAACAAATGTTCCTTGGAATTTTTTCTTTATTTTCTTTTACTTTCACTTTGCTCTTTCTTGTTCAACATTAGTTGGATGGATTTTGATTCCTTACATAGATGATAAACATTATTCCATAAACTGTATTCACATGCCAAAAGTCTTATTTATTAATAATATCATAAGTCACAAATTTGTGACTTGTACGGTTTAAGAGATACAATAAGTTGATCACTTGATTCAATCAGGTGACTTTTTGACAAGTCATATTGAATCAAAGACAAATTAATTTTGACAGCATGTATAATAAACATTATTATTTTTAATCCTACTTCAATCTATACTTCTAATGCTTCATCTGAAACCAATATTTGATTTTTGAAAGTTTTCAATCTGTTAGTGTAATTATATAAGTCAGTTTCATTAGTTAAGTCATACTTCAAAGCAGCAAAATAATCACTAAGATTATTTCTTCGCCTTTCCAAAGGATTATATACATAATGGCCAGTATTATTAGAAATGATGTAATCACATTGGAGGAAGTCAAAAAATTTCTTTGTTAACTTCAATTAGCTTTGTTTATATTTCATTATTCATAATACTAATTTTTGTATCCAAAATTTGGAGGACTATGAAAATATAAACACAAATATGAAGCCAACTCATATGAAATGGAATCCAAAAATTATAACACTACTATTAGAGGTATTTTTCCAAAATATTGAAGAATTTGGCAGTGAGACTATTGTCTAAATTTGGTTGTGTTAGATCGAGAACAGTACACTTTGTGCAGTGAGTATAATACAAACCATTTTTGGTATTGATAATTGTACTTACATGCCTTTTTTGGGTTGGTTGTGTGGAATCTATAATTGTACTTACTGTATAGTTGGCTTGGTCTAAAGACCTCCTGAATTTGGGCAAATTTTAAAAGTATAGAAATCACTTTGTGTCCTACTTTTTAAAAAATAGGTTTTCAGTTTTAATGTAATAATGAGATATTCTCAAAAAAATATTTGTTGTAGAGTTCTATGCTTTTTTAAAACATGTGCTTTACTATGCTACTATGCTCTCAAGGAATTTTCCACTATGATCATTGCTACGTAAATTTAGACTATCATATCTAAATTTGGCAGTATGAAATAATTTTTAAAACAAATCATGTGAAGTCCTATTTTAAAACTGCTATTTTTTGAAATTTGGCCATATGGCGTAGCAATAGGAGGTCTTTATTGTGCAGGTCATCTAAAAACATCAAAAAAATTGTACAACTTCAAACCACTAAGGCTTTTTTTTTTTTAATTAATAAAATTGAAAAAATCTCTATTTTTGCAATCTTTAGAACCTAAGCAACAATGAAATGGAGAGTTTTTTTCAATTTTATTAATTAAAAAAGTCTTAGTGGCTTGGAGTTCTATCAAAAATGAAATTTGTCACAGTATGTTCTTTCTTATTTAGTAAAAGATCTTCTAAACGCGTGACCAGAACAAATTATAAAATTTAGTTTAGAAAACCATCATCATATTTTTTTTGTAATTAACAAATTTAAATTCTTCCAATTAAAAAAAGCCAAAACGAAATAAGCAAACTCCATATTTAAAACAAATCAAATAACAAATTGAATAAAAATTTAGAATATGCATCAAGTAAAGAAGACTCAGATAAAGAAACTGATTATATGAATTATTGTTTTATTCATTTATTCAAATTATTCATTTTACTTGAATTATTCATCTATTTTTTTATTTGTTTATTTGAATTATTTGTTTATTTGAATTATGTATTTGTTTTATTCATTTATTCAAGTAAAAATTTATTTGGATATACTTTCAATGTAATTTGAATAAAGAATTAAATAATGAAAAAAAAAATTTTTAAATTTCCTTTGAGTGTCACAGTGAAGTTAATGATAAAAATGAATGCAATTGATATTTTTAGTGTATATACAATTAATCAGTTAATTCCAATAAAAAAAAATGCACTATTTATTATTATTATTATTACTGTATTAAAAAAAATTGGCTCTATTCTCAAATTTATTAATGTTTATTATTGATGGTGCAAATATTCAGTTTTATACAATTCAAATATTTAGACTTTCAACATCAATTTAGGCTTTCACATTTCAACATTATGACAAATCAAGTGCCTTGTCAAAATATATTAAATATATTTCAAAGGATGATGTAACTAAAAGAGTTGATCTATATAGTTTAATTAGGTATATATTTAACTAGACCAAAAAAAACCCTATACTGCCAAGTAACATAAGTAATAATCAATGTCAATCATCAGATAATGATTTGACTTTTTTATGATGTAAATATTTTTAAATATTTTTAATCTTTTTTTATTGATAAAAAATTTTTTTTGATGATAAATGAAAAAAATAAATAATTTTTTCTTTTTTTTTTTTTTTTACAAAATAATACCAAATTTTCTTTAACAATATATAAAATAAAAACGTTATAGAATAATAATAAAAATAGGATTGAGAATAATATAGAGAGAAAAGAATAATAATAATATTTACATAATAAATAATAAATAAAAAAATATTTATAATAATAAAAAATAGTTAAAAACTATTTAGTAGAAGAATTTATTTTTTATATAAATTATAATCATTATAATCTTATATTTTCTAAAAAAAATCATATATGTGTATATAATATACATATATATGTATATATGTAATATAAAAAAGCATATATATAATAAACTATTTACATATTTAAAAATAAAAATCTATATATGTATATATTAATCAAAAAATCTATATATAAAAAAACTGTACATAAAAAAAAACGCGTTTTTTTTAAAATTTTCTTGTTTTGCATAAAATTGTTTTTCGCGTTTTTTTTTTTTTTTTTAAATCTTTCATTTTTTTTTGAAAGAATGAAAATCGTGTGGAATTATTAAATTCCTTTTATCTTAAAAATCTTATTTCTTAATATGTATATAAAGAAAATTGTAAAGAAAAAAAAAGTAAAGAAAATTTGGTATTTTTTGTAAATAAAAATAAAAATAAAAAAAGATGAATAAGAAAAAAAAAAAATATATAACAGAAAAGAAAGTGCGTATATATATATATATCTACTAATATTTACAAAAAAAAAATGAAAAAAATTTTTTTTTAAATTCTATTTCCTTTTTTTTTTTTTTTTAAAAAAACCCACCCAATATAAAAAATCTAAAAATTTTTTTGTGTGTATGATGTATATGAAGTATATATGAAAATGATGATGATGATTGATGTAATGATGAAATGATAATGAGAGTGTTGAAAAAGAAAAAAAAAAGAATGAAAGATGGGATTATTAATTTATAAAAAATTAAAGAAAGAAATATCATTATTTGCAATGTTATGTTTGTTTCTTTTTGCCCACCCATATATATATATTATTTATATTCGTGATTTTTGATGATTTTTCGTTAATTAATTTGTCGTGTATATGTAAAAAATTATCGATATATAATAATATATAAAAATTTTTCAAAGTTTAAAAAGTGGATATGAATGATGATGATATCCTCCGAAAGTTGAAGTAGGGCTAATAACAACGGCAGATCCAGATGATGATGTCGATGAACTATTATTATTATTGGTAGCAACAGTAGTATTGCTAATACTATTAGTGGTATTATTGTTATTTATTCCTAAAGGTGGTAATCTTCTGGTAGGGCTTGAATCATTTACAATATCACTAATACTGGACTGTTGTTGTTGAGATGTTTGTTGTGATAATATTGGTAATGGTGAAGTGATTGGCAATGGTAACGATGAAGATGCTGATGAAGAATGATATTGATGATTGTATTGAATATTATTATTGTTATGATAATAACCACTACTACAATGACCATTGCTACTAACATTATTATGATTGTGGAATGCCGAAGAAGATGGTGGAGATGGAAGACGATTGAAATGATTTGAATCTTGATTATTGAAATGATCTGATCCTACAACTCGAGGTCCTAAAGTAGGAGAAGTATGGGGTGAATGATTTGGAGTCATTAGATCATGTTCTTCATCTGATCCATTATCAACACACATTTGTGGTGAAGGAATATTGTTATAGTATAATGAAGAAGGTGGCGGTGATGTAGCAGTTTCAGATAAAGGTGGTGATAACAAATAATCGTCGTTATGATTATTATTATAATTAGGATTGACACGACGTTTTTTAACCGGTTGGTCAATCAAATTAAAATCTTGAAATTTTTGTTGTTGAGAAGGAGTTGACGACGATAATGATAAACAAGTTAAACAACAACTATGAGTATTATTAGCAGGGATTGAAATAGCAGCTACGTTACTATTATTAGGATGGTTAGGAAATTGGTGATAATTATTATAATGATGATTTTGTTGCTGTTGCTGTTGCTGTTGCTGTTGGAACAAAATATCATTAGTTGTACTATAATTACTAGAAGAACTAGAAGAACTTTCAGTGCTTGTAGAAGAGCTATTACTATTACTTCTACTACGGAAAAGTCCATCACCAATACCAAACATCATCACAGAATCATCATCATCATCATAATAATGACTATTATTTATTGCAAGATTTTGTTGTTGATTAATGATTTGTTGTTGTTGCTGCTGCTGCTGCTGCTGTTGTAATTGTAAATTTTGAAAATTGTATTGATTAAACCTTTGAGAGTTTAATTGTTTGCGTTTATCTTTTTTATTGCCGTTGTGAGTACGTTTGTGTCTTGTCAACTCATCAGATCTCGAGAATTTTTTTCCACAACCAGGAAAATCGCAATGATGTGGCTTTTCACCAGTATGAGTACGAATATGACGAGTTTGATGTTCCAATCTAAAGAAAGCTTTAGAACACATTGTACATGCATAAGGACGTGGAGCATCTGATTTGTCTATGGATCTTTTCTTTGACTTGTTAGCAGTAGTAGATGATGAATTGGTGGATGAATTGGTGGTGGCAGCAGTAGTAGAAGAACTGGTGGTAGTGGAACTGGTAGAATTGCTAGAATTGCTAGTAGAATTGCTAGAATTACTAGAGTTACTAGAATTGTTGTTGTTGTCGGAACTATTCTTGTCTTTATTTTCATTGCTGCTGCCGCTGCTGCTGTTACTCTCATTAGAATTACCATCATTACAATTATTATAATTACCATACTGATTTTTACGATTATAAAAATGAAAATTATCAAAAGACGGTAACATCTTTAATTGATGCTGATGAGATTGATTAAAAGTAAAAGGAAATGGTTGATGTTGTTGGTGAATTTGCGGTTGTTGATGATAATGTTGATAGGAATCCTGTTGTTGTTTTTGATAATAATTAACATCGTTTTGATGATAAAAATTATTATAATTACTATTGTTATTATAAAAACGAAAATGATCTGCCTTCTTCATTGGTGGATGCAAAATATTTGATAAAGCTGCCATGATTTTATTTATTCTTCTTTAATTCTTGTAAAAATTTTTATTAATTGATTGATAATTCGTGAAAAAAAAACTTTTTAATTATTTTATATATATATATATATTATTCGTTAGAATTTCGTGACAAAATGAAAAATTAATTTTCTTTCTTGATATATATATATATATATATATATATTGTATATTGTAAAGTATCTTTTTTGCTTGAAAAAAATAAAAATAAAAAAATTTTTTTTTAAAAAGATAAACTAAAGAATATAGGTAATACTATATATATGTATTGATTGATGAAAGTTAATGTGAATGTCAAAAATATAAGGTAGTGGTTCGTATGTAAAGAAGATTTGTTAAAAAGGGCGAGAGTTGTTCTACGAGAATAGAAATTTTGAATTGAGATGAGAGAAGAAAAAAAAATAATTAAAAAAAATTTTTTTAATATTTTAAAAATTAAAATATTTATTATTTTTCTTTTTAATTATTTAATTAGAAAAAAATATGATATTTAAGAAATATTTTTTATCGTTCGTTGGAAACAAATTAAAAAATCATGAGAAGAAACGATTTTTGAAAGTTGGGAAAATACATTCGATTTTATATATTTTTAATTATTAAATAATATATTATAAATATAAACTTTTGCAACAACAAAATGACAGTTGCATAACGTCTAATTTTTTTTTTATAATGATACATATATTAACGGTTATATTCCATAAAATTTATATATTATATAATGAGTATTTAATTGTATGTACTATAAGAATGAATATAATAGAATTATAAGAATATATAAAAAAAAAACCAATTGTCAATTATTATTTTATTTTAATATGAATTTAACTTAAAAATTATAAATTATTGTTGAACATTATTTTACCAACAAAAAAAAAACATGTGAAAAGATTTCAATATAAAAAAAATATTTTTATTTTATCGAATAATCTTTCACAATAGCAGTTTAGTACCCAGAACTAGCCGTGGACTAATATAGCATTATTCTAAAAAAAATATGTGGAATATGATGTGTTTTCTCATATAAAAAAAAAAATAAATAATAAATAAAAAATTGTATGTATGTGTTTTCTAGATTTGGAACGATATGCTTACTTAATTAATACATGTGATATTAATGATATTGTGTGTGGTGGTGGCTTTACCGAACCATATCACCTTTCTTTCCCTTTACTATTACCAGTAAAGAATTCCTTCTAATCATATATAATTAAGTTTATTGTTTAAAAAATAATATGTCAGGAAAGAAAAAGTAGAAATCACTTTTTTTTTTAGGGTTTAACTTTTTTTAGATTAGACATTAAAAAATATTCACGATATTCTCACAATACCTTTTTCTCCTTTCTCCACCATAAATTTTTTTATTCTCCACACCAAAAAAAACAAACAAACCAATATTCCGAATTCGTCCGATTTTTCATGATTTTATTACAAAATATTAACGTCATCTCAGTATAAACATCATCATAATTCTATTTCAAAATTATCTATCCCAAAGTATTTTTTTTTTTTCTCTTTTATTAAAACCACGTGCATAATTTACGGTTAATTTCAAAATAACAAACTTGTTATTGATCAAGAAACTGTATAATAATAATATTGCATTATATAATTAATTACTAATGATAATAATATTGAATGTACACAATACGAATTTTGAATTTACATTATTTTCATTTTTTGTTGTAGATCTAGATAAGGAAAAGAACTTTTTACGTATACAATATTAATATTTATTTATTCTTTGTGATTTATTATAGATTAAGAAAATGAAAAAACGTGGCTAATTGTTGGAATATTTCTGAACTGTATTTATTTATTATATATATTATATTTAAGTATATGCTATATCAAATGATGAATGTGTCTAGTTGATCCCTCAAAGAAGTAAATTATAAATAATTGATGGTGATATGTAAAATTACAATGCGTTTATTATGAAAGAATATCATTTAAATTACCGAAAAAGACAAAATGATTTAACTAATTATATATAAAAGTCACCCATTTTACTACTATTAACTTTTTAATTTTTGCTAATCAATCAATCAAATCAGTGTATGACATTTCTAATTAAGGTAATCTTTTTTGCTATAATTATCAAATCTTGCATATTATGTGTGAAATTTTAAAGAATAATAGGACAAAAATAATATGTAAATATCTTGATTTTAAATAATATTATTACGTAAAGGAATTCTATATGTAGAAAAAAAAGCATTTGAAATTTACATATTTTGACTTGTTAATTGAAAACAAACAATATTGTGTGTATAATCAATCATACGTTTTTTGCTTTTATGACGATTATGATGTTTTCATAATTGTAATTTCGTCATCAAGAATACACTCACTCCCCTACCATATCCGACCCACCTGATGATCATTTTAATAATCGGAAACGTTACGCCTTGTGCAGTTCAAAATTTTATTAATCAAACCGGGGACTGATGCATTAAGTAAACATGTTTTTAAAAGTTAATTTGCATATAAACTTGTTGAATGAAAATTTTAAATTAGACAAAAAATTCCGTGATTTTTATGAAAACCTTGATCTTAGTAAAAACCATCAAAACTCCGTTGAATCATGAATTGTGTCGTTAAGTAAGTCCACTTAAAATATCTTGAATTAAATATGGTTAAGATTTGAGAAAATTTGATCGAGTATAGACAACAAAACGTAAAGCCTTAAAATTTGCATTTTGTCAACTTTATCAAGTGTTTTATATAATAAAATTATGGGGTGGTCGGTTACTTTTTTAAACCCTTTTCATATTGTGGATATATGTAATCTGTTACGTTGAGCACATTTTATTAATGAAATAATATACATTACAATGAAGAAATTTGACCTTTATTATATGTAAAGATTCCAATTGAAAATTTGCCTTTTTGGACTATTTGCTAAATGTTTCCATTAATACCATACCTGACCTTTCGAAGCTTTTGTAATTTAGAGATTTTGATATCAAGTAAAGTCTACTTAGTAAAGTAAAAACGGTTTTATTTAAGAAAACGTTACTTTTTTTAGTAAGGACTCTTTTCATTTAACGTTACACGACCTTGGTGGCCGGATACTTATTATTATGGTAGGTGAGTGTAAACTGTCAATGACGGAAAAATTCATAATAATAAGCATTGATTTTTTTTTTGTTATTATTTATTTACCTAATGATTATTCGCAATTATCAATATTTATTTAATATTTGTTTATTTGCCTAATATCATCCGTTATTTTTTTTTTTTTTAGCCAAATTATTGTTATGTTTATTTAGCTTTAAAAAGCCTCATTCATATAAACAAAATAAAGTTAATGAGTGTGCTACATCAAATAACAACATATGATCAAACAATGTTATTTCTTTGTGACACAAAATAAAAGGTGATATAAATTGAAAAATTGTTGATAATTGATAATTGAAAAATGTTGTTGATAATTAATGTTGATAAATGAAAGATGTTGATAATTAGAAGATGGTGTGGATGGCGGAAAATAGGTGAAGGAGATAATTATATATATATATATATATATGTATAAAAGAGAAAATAATAAATAATAATAAATAATAAGTGGGATATGATTTTTATATCAGGAAGGATTATACATACCTATTAGGATCAGGACTATATGTGTCACCACAATTGTTATATTATAAAAACAATTTATTAACACCTTTCACAAGTTTTTCCTTATCAATTATATTAGGTAAATCAAGTAGGTGTAAAATAAAATAATCAATTAACATAAAATAATTAACATTAACATAAAATAATTATTTTAAAGTTTAAAAACTTTAAATTTTTGACAGTTTTTATGTTGAGATCATAATCAATTAAATTTTTATTTTAAAAAAAACCAGTTTTTTACATTACAAACTATTATTATTATAATAATAACTTTTAAATATAAATAATATATTTTCATGATGTTGATGAAATTGAGGAATTTTTTGCATCCAAATAAATTTAAACCCCTAATTCAAACATGAAAAACTAATCCAATCGAATTCAATCAATTAATTCAATCAATGAATCAAATCAAAATAAATCATTTCATTACTATTCTAGAAAAATTAAAAAATTAAAAAAATTGTGGAGAACAATATTATTATTTATTGTTATTATCACAGTATCTTTTGACAGCCTGGTAACACGAATCTATGCTATTTCCTTCCCTTTTCCAATATCTCTCATTTATATATTACAACAATTTCTTTTTTAATTTATTTCTCACCCGAGTTACTACATAAAAATTTCATTCAAAATAATTTTGACATATATTTGACATTATTTGATGCATATATGAATGAATATATACACACAATGTATATATTCATCATAAAATAATACATACAATTTCCAACATTATTGTATATGATGTAATAAAATGCCAAAATTGTCTAATATGTGTCAAACTTTCTCATATATAATAACAATATATATAATAGCCGGTAATTAACTGTAAATTACTGTATGTTTTTGGAATCCTAAAATCCCATAAAAAATTTAAACATCGGAGATTAAATTAATAAAAAAAAAAAACGTGTGCATAACAATAATTGTTAATGGTTTTTTATTATTATTTATTATTTTTACGAGTTGATACAAGTTTTTAAAATTTTTTTATTCTATTGTTATTTTATTATCAATTGTTCATTCCCGTCATTGAAAATTCATTCAACCCATTCATATGATAACGACAATAACATGCATGTATGTATGCGTGGTCTTTGTGTAAATTTACACAACATAATCATTAACTT